CCCCCCCCCCCCCCCCCCGTCTAAGCCTTCTCTCCTGCCTTTTTCCCCCCCAACTGTCTAACGGATCCTTCTTCCTCGTCTTCCTCAACCACCAATGGCTTAGTTTCCGCCATTTCCACCATTTCCACCATTTCCACCGTTCTCTTTCTCATCTTCCTTCGCATCCCTCTCCTCCATCTCCGATCTCTCGTAATTCCTCCTTCTCTCTTCCTCAGATGCCCCCATTTCCCTTTCTCCACATCGCAAAATGCCATCCTCTTCTTATTCTTCCTCTTCCTCTTCCTCTTTCCCCCCTTTTTCCTCTCCCTCATCGCCGTCTCTGAACAGGAGCACCAGCACCATCCAGAATTCGGAGGCCGAGAACCGTCTCCGTGAGGCGGAGGACCAGCTCCGGGAAGCTATTGAGGAGCTTCAACGTAGGCAGCGGAAAGTTGCGGCATGTGGATCTCATCATCACCAGACCCGGGAGCGGCCCCCGACGTGTGAACATGCTGCTTATGAGTCCTCTTGTGTGGCTAATGCCATTGGTAACCTCTGCCAGACCTTCCTTCTCTCTTATGGTGTTAGAGTTGGCATTGGTATACTTCTCCGTGCTTTCAAGCTCGCGCGGAGGCAGTCCTATTCCTCTATTCTTGATCTCAAGGTTCGTTTTGTTTGATGTCATTCGTGTTTTTAAATTGTTGATTCCGGTATTCCTTCTTGTTTTGTGAGATCGCCGATTGAAGTTTTGAATCAGGGCTGGAAAAGATTGTTGGATTCACGGTTTTCTCCCTTTATTATTGTTTTTATGATCAATATAGTTGTTTCTTATGGCTGCCATGTGACTGTTTGTTTAGGTTAATGCATTTGATGGAGATTATTATAGTTCTTTTTCGTTGAATTGTATTCTTCACCATGTTTGTTGGGAATGAGTTCTTATTGGAGGTGAGTGAAAACGAAATGGGATGAATTTTTCAGGGATTAAAAGAATATTTCCAATAGGAACAATCAAGATCGAAGTAAAGAGGGTTGTCATTTGTTTACCTCCATTTTTTTCCATATTAGGATTTAACTTTTTTCCCCCACAAGTGATTTATGTCCGACTGCGTTGTTATGTGTTTGTATTGGTTCATTTTTTTTCAAATGAAAGAACATCTTACAACAATGGTTCTCTCTTCTATGAATTCTCTGCACTTTTTTTTCCTCCTAACAACGCCCTGTAAAAGTCGAGCTAGACTTTTTGAGTATGAAAGAGACGTTATATCTCGTTTTTTGTGACGGTTTTATAAATTGGCTCGATCTATTTAGAAGTACAAAAATTCTTAGAGAGGTGGGAAAATTATGCTTTTTTGATAGATAAGTACAACAAGATAGGAGTCGTGATGGAAGTTAAAAGAAAGGTAGCGCTTTCATACTAGAGGGGCAAAACTTGGAAGGTTAATCTTTATGTAATGTGTTTAACTTTCTGCTGCCTCTCACATCTATTTAATAATTTAGTTCTTTGAGGATATATTGTTCTCTCCATTTTTTTTCATGTACTTGATTAGATTTTTCCTCCGGAACACTTTTCTGTAGCAACTTGTCTCAGAGAAAGACTTGATAGTGAGAGAAGAGGCATGTCGTGTTGGTTTACTCTTTGGTGGTTTTACTGGGTCTTATCATGCCCTTAGATGCTTGCTAAGAAAGTGTAGAAAGAAAGAGACATCGTTAAACGTGTAAGTCTCCAATCCATTGTAGCATCAACTTTCACGTCTTCATGATTCTGTTTGTGTTTCATTTTCTTCTTTTTAATGGATGATGAGCAGAATTTTAGCAGGTTCAGTGGCTGGTCTGTCTGTTTTAGCATTAGATGGCTCAAACCGGAGGCGTACTCTTGCTTTATATCTTATGGCTAGACTTGCACAGGTACAAAGCACACAAGTTTACCGTTGAGATGTAGCTTTCTTTCTCCCTTTTCTTTGGCTCTCTATCTTTATCTTTATAATTCTATCTGACTAGGTATTTCTTTTTACTTTCTTCATTTTCTTCCTAAAATTAGTGTGCCTATAATTCTGCAAAATCCAAGAACAAGTTCCACTTCTGGGGAAGTCACTGGAGACATGGTGATTCTCTTCTTTTTGCCATGGCATGTGCACAGGTAGTTTAAAGCTGTATGGGTTCTCTGCTTTCTATTTTTTGTGGAGCATTTGATTGGGGAGGAATAAAAAGTTCTTATTTTTTATTTTTTTTAATTTTTATTTTTATCATGTGATCGTACTCGTGCAGATGTTTCCGCTTAGGCTTTTGCCTTTTACATTATTTGTATTACTATTAATCCCGTTTGAATCATCAACAGTTGGGCCTCTTTTAATTCTACTTCCTTTGTTGGCCCTTGTTGATGCTGGTCTATCTTTTTGTGTACCTTTGTGTTTCCCATTTTCTCAATAAAAGATCTCTTTTATATCAACCAAATATCTATCTTGATCTCTTTTATATCAACCAAATATCTATCTATCTATCTATATATATAGTATATGTGTATCTCCTAGTCCCTCCAACACTACTGGTGCTGTTTTTGTAAGCTTCTATGGTTGATTTGCGGAATTTCTATTTCTTGATTAAAAGAACTATGGGATTCATCTCTGCCCTTATGATGTTTCTGGCATAGAATTTATATAATTGTGATAACCTCATACTAGTGATTAACTATTTGTTACAGGTTATGTATTCCTTTGTAATGCGTCCGGAGAGCTTGCCAAAAGCATATCTGGACTTCATTCAGATTACAGGGCCAGTTGCGGAACCTGTCTACAAGGCTGTACGAGATAGTTGTAGAGGCCATCCTGTGGATGGTGCTTCACTTTCTTCTTACTTGTCAGATAGGCAGAAATCTGGCTATGGAAATCTAGATGAATTTCCTTCCATTATTCCATGTAGTATAATCCATCCGGACACGAATTCGTGCATGGCTCACAATACGCAGGCAGCATCAGCCACATTCAAGAAGACATTTCCTCTTTACTTCTCTTTGA